CCCCTACTGGACCAACGGCGAGCGCGTATAAGTTGGGGTGTGTTCGCTAACCTTGGGCGAGGGCACTCACGTCGGTAATAAACGGAAAGTCGTGTTACTGAACAGTAGAAAGTAATTTTTCAGTATAAGTTGCCGGTATTTATGAGGCCCACAAGACAGTCCTGCCGGATGGTTTATAGACAGTGCCCTTGATGACTCCACTAATGTCCAGTACCGATCAGTCAGTATAAAGTTTCAAACATTTGATTTTATTCGAATCAAAACGTCCGATGGTCCAAAACGTTTGCTGTTGTTGTTTAATACAAATCCGTGCGAAGGACAGTGGAGCAAGACGTGTTTTTCGAGGCTGACAGGAAGTTGTCAAGTTGTGAAAGATGATTTTTATCGACAGTTTTTTTCAATAAAATATTTGAATACAAACAACTTTGGTGGACATCGCCACCTCTTCTAGTAGCGAGTTATATGATCGCACGGCAAATCCCCTCCAGATCTCACCAAAATATCCTTCTTCGGCCGACTACTCACCTTCTAATTACACTATTGAAAACCCAACCAATCAGTGTGCTGTAGGGTAGTGAACAAATCACAATAACATCTAAGGACAGGCCCTCGACCTGACTAGCCCGTAGCAAATGGATCAACAACAAAAGTAAGGCTCCCAAAATTCATATTCTTCTTCCATTAAGGCTTCATTTGGGAAGAGGTATCCAACAAGACTTCCCGCCCACAATCAACTTATCCCAACCGCATGCAGTTTGGGTACTAGGGATTTCTCGAGAGTAAACCCACCGTTACGGAGGCGGGACCCCCATGCACTCACGGCAGTCAACGAGAACAGGCCAGCTGGGTCATGACCGCATGCAAATCGCCCCTGCCGTGCGTCGAGCAAACGAGACGACCGCACACACAGCGTGGGTAGTGACCGTAGTCAGGAGGGTTCCAGAACGCCCAAGCGCACACCATAAACCAGGAATATTCTGGAGAGACCGGAACCATATATATATGCCTCAGTGTACAAGTTGAAGGACCCCACAAACCCTGCTGCCGTTGTGTGCTGTTGAATGAAGTCATTGTCAACA